CACACACATTGAATATGAAATAAATAACCACCGAAATCGGGTGGAAGTACTCTATGCAATTTATTGATAACAACCTTATTTATACAAGAGTTGTCAAACGTAAAAGAACGAATTTTACTCTCACATTTATACTCTCTAATAATGTTTATTATAGCATTAAATATAGTTTGGGCATTCTGCGGGTACTCAATAATTTTAAAAGTAATAATTTTTTTATGCATGACCCAAAGTGGGTCTATATAGTGTGCAATTGCAGCTATATAACCTTTCTTATTAATCCCTTCCTACATATTTGACGTTAACGATATCACACCTCCATATTTTTCTAAATCCTCAATTAATAGTTTCGTTGCATTAAGAAAATATTTAATTGTATTAGAAGGAAGAGTATTTCGACTTACCCAAACGTACCTCAGTTGAAAATATTGTTGACGTAGTTTACGAAATGTTGGTTGTTCGCTATTACTAGTGGCAACTCTATCGTTGCAACGAATTTCACCATTCCCGCTCGAACTTCCTCCTCCGAATACATCCACGTAGAAAGTGGCGCAGGAGTAGCACCGGCTCTACTAGTACCAAACTGTAGTTGCGTTTGTCCACATTCAAGAAGCCCATGTTTGGCCGCACATGCTTTGTAATGACGGTTGAGGTGAGTNACCAAACTGTAGTTACGTTTGACTAACTGGAAGAATCCTATGTTTGGCCGCATAGTTTTTGTAGTGACGGTTGAGGTGAGTAGTTCCAATGCCTTTTTATCATACAAGTCATTGTTGACAATATTTACATACTACTTTGGTTTGTGGAAGTCCATCTACTACACGACCAGTTTGAACAAATTTAAAATAGTCCCAACATTTTGCATGCTTCTTCCCCTTTCTCTTCCATCTTGCATCGGGAATATTTAATATAAGTTCTTCATCTTCTTCCAAATCAATTGGAACACTAGGATCAATATCAATGTCATCCAAATCAATTTGATGACTACCTTCATGAACGTCGAAATCTTGAATGTTTTCTGGTTGTAATTCACTGAGACTGGGGAATTCATTCCCAAATTGAGTTTGGACAAGTATTTCGCCTTCTATATTGAATAAGTTTTCAACAAATGATTGTGAATCCATTTGTAAATAATAGAA